TGGGGGGGTGGTGTTGAATCCCCCCCTCCCCGCCACCCCGCCATATCGTCATCGAGATTGAATTCTATAAATCTGGCTTTGGGTTTTATCTCTTCTCGTTACATTCTCCGTAAGGAAACTTACCGGAAATTAATATCCTTTTTATTCATCTATCCGTGTATTAATGTCATCATGATATCAAAATAGAATAAAGAACAGCTCTCCGAATCGGGCTCACTACCGAGGTCAAAATTAGATACACAGATAAGACTTGTGAGACTCGGTGGAAGTGGAACAAAAGTATTTGGATTTCATCGGCGTGGCTTTTTGGAGCATGAAAAAAGGGGGGGTTCCTAACCGGAATTTGAAGTGAACTGAGCGCCTGAGGTTTGCGCAGGGGAGTTCTTGTCCCACAACCGAGGAGGGGGAAAACACCTTTTCGATGCCCCCTCCATTCCCCTCCTGCCTCCAGCTCGGCGTTCGGTCTCTAACGACTTGCTCGGGGGGGAGAGGGGGGGAAGGGGGCGAGGGGCAGGGTCTCTACAAGAACCTCATCTCCTCCTTACGCAAGTGATGCGCGCATCGCAGGTGGAAGGTGTCACAGCCGTGGACGTGGTGGTAAAGGGTCTTCTCTATCAAGTCCTGGGGCTCGTAACCTGTAAGCTCAGCTACCCTGCAAGAGACACAAGCAGCAAACACCAGCGGGTGAGAGGGCAGGAGAGGAGGCCGGGGGGAGAAGAAGGGAAGGGCTAGGGGAATAGATTTGGAAGTAGCCCCGGCTCTACCTGGAATCTAAGAATATGAGCTTCATGTCTAGGCTGGCCCGAAACATGAACATATTGCTGTGGAGCTTGATCTCCGTCACGGCGCTGGGCGGCAGCGAGTGGCCCACGGCGACCAAGCCAACGTTTTGGTAGCAGCCGTCGAAGGGGGACATGTCCAGGCTGTACTGGCGGATCTTCAGGTACCCGCTGCAGTGAATGACCTGCCGGAGACACAGGGAAGCTCGGGGGCTGCCTAGCGGGGGGCGGGGGGTGCTGTGACGGGCGTCCCTCCCCGCCCGGCTGCTGCCCATGCGGCCGCCGGCTGCCCCGGAGCCGCCACCCCCGCCACCGCTCCGGCGACGCGGCGCTGCCTGCCGGCCTTCTGCTCTTCGGTTTGGGCTGGGGCTGGCGTTTGGGGTTTTTTTTTTCCACGCGAGAGTTCAGCGCTGATCCCAGGCCCGTTAAAGTCAGCGAAATTTTTTTTTTTTTTTCCACTGACTTAGTGGGTTTTGGACCACCTCCTAACTACGCTTTTATTATTCTTCGGAAAAGGAAAGACGCGGAAGTGCCAAGCCAGTTACAGCTTTGTAATGAAGAGTGTATGCGTGTGAGAGAAAGAGTTTACATGTGTGCGTATGTCGCCTGTGTAAGATATGTCTATCATATAGACGGAGCAGACGTGATCCGTAGCCAGAACGCATCTTTGGACGTAGATTTAGGTATGTCTCCTAAATGTATCCTTGCATATGACTGCTGTGTACTTCCAGTCTCACTTGTTTCTTACTAGGGTGTTTCACCCTGGAGGAACAGATATTCTTGTTCTACGGCACGTCGGGGCACAACATCTCCTTGGTTTATGGGTACCCACCGCTCCCCGGCGCTGTGCAGCTGACACAAACGCGGGGAGAAGGCAGGAGAGCAGGCGCTGTCCCCACCCAGGAGCCCTGAGCAGAATCGTGTGAAACACCCGGGCAAAACCCTCGGCTTGGAGGGCTGCCCCTGGGGCTGACGAGTTACCCAATAAAGAAATAAATTAACCCAGGGCTCCCATTGTGTCACCTGACAGCTTCCACAGACGCCTCGGGAATGTCAGTGGTCGTGCGAGGTTGGGTCTAAAAAGCAAAATAAAACAAACAAAAAAAAAACCCCCAAAAAAACCCCACGGGGAGCTCGGTCGCTTGGTTTTGTGGTTTGGGTTCTTTAACCTGAAACTCCGCGAGAAATTCTGGCTCTGAACCACATGAAAGAG